AGGGACCAAAGCGCTCTACCACCGCAGCGATGAGCCACACAGCACCGTTGCACGCTAATCTGGCCCCTATTGAAAAGAGGTCAGCAGTGCACTGAGCCAGGTTCGTGAACTAAAGACGGTTATACAACACCGCACAATCTGGGCTCTGATTACAAGGCTGCAGGCCTAGCTGAAATACTCGGGCGTCAATGAAGATCACCTATCAACTTAGAGTAGTGCCTGAAGATTACTCTGTGTGGCTATAAACAACCGTTAATGAAATGATGAATTTTTGAAGGATTTTGAAAACGGAAAAATGATAGTCATGCCGGCCCAGCATCATTAACATTGAAGTGGTTAAAAGTGTAGAACAAGTGAGTACTTGTAGTCGTGTCAGAGTTTCATAGTGGACAGCTTGTGAATAAATGCAAGTGCATACGTATTAACGAGCTGTCATAAGTGGGTGCAAGATGCCTCATGATGTATCTTGATGCATTGTGACTGGAGTATCTGGGTGCATAATTTGTGTATCACATCCTAGAAGAGTGGCGTTATTACAGCCCTGCTTGCTTTGCTTGGTTCAGTTGCATTACCACTTTAAAAGGCTTCATTCCAGATGTTTCAAGTTGAAGGTCATTTTCATTCGTATAAGACCTGAGGCTGACCAGTATCTCTGTGTCTTGTTGGTTGCAGGAAGGCGTGGCCGCCATGGAGAACCTAAATGAGATGCAGTGCATGTGGTTCCAGACGGAGTGCGCCCTCAGCTTCCAGCGGCAGGCCAAGTACGGCGAGGCGCTCAAGAAGTGCCACGAGGTGGACAGGGTGAGGAATTTAGGAGGGGCCCAGTTCCTGGACGATATTTGAGTCAATGGAGAGACTAATGGAGTGTCTCAGTCGCGGTCCTGTTGTTACAGCTTAGAACTAAGAGTACAAAGCAAACAGTGAAGTTGCTTGTTCAAATGGTATGGAGTTATAGTAAGCTGACTGTGACAATGCTGTATACAGTGGAACGCCGCTATAACGAACATGAAGGGGTCCACGCTAAATGTTCGGTACAGGGGTCGTTCGGTATAGCGAATTTAACTGCCAAACGTTTTGTTGCCATGTTGAACAGGGCCCTCTCTTGTCTAACTGAAGTGCACCCTCGTGTGATACTCGTGATGATTTGCTGTTGCATTCAAGTTGAAGTTTTCTAGAAATGTATCTATTAACTATTTTTGTTTTTTATTTAAACTTGAGTCAAAAAATTGATGTGAAGTTTATCCTTAAAGTCGTGAAACTACCGCTCAGGATCCATCTCTGATGCATGCTGTGGCGAATCTCAGTTGATTTGTGTATCAGCAGCGCCCANGGGGACCAAAGCGCTCTACCACCGCAGCGATGAGCCACACAGCACCGTTGCACGCTAATCTGGCCCCTATTGAAAAGAGGTCAGCAGTGCACTGAGCCAGGTTCGTGAACTAAAGACGGTTATACAACACCGCACAATCTGGGCTCTGATTACAAGGCTGCAGGCCTAGCTGAAATACTCGGGCGTCAATGAAGATCACCTGTCAACTTAGAGTAGTGCCTGAAGTTTACTCTGTGTGGCTATAAACGACCGTTAATGAAATGATGAATTTTTGAAGGATTTTGAAAACGGAAAAATGATAGTCATGCCGGCCCAGCATCATTAACATTGAAGTGGTTAAAAGTGTAGAACAAGTGAGTACTTGTAGTCGTTTCAGAGTTTCACAGTGGACAGCTTGTGAATAAATGTAAGCGCATACGTATTAACGAGCTGTCATAAGTGGGTGCAAGATGCCTCATGATGTATCTTGATGCATTGTGACTGGAGTATCTGGGTGCGTAATTTGTGCATCACATCCTAGAAGAGTGGCGTGCTTGCTTTGCTTGGTTCAGTTGCATTACCACTTTAAAAGGATTCATTCCAGATGTTTCAAGTTTAAGGTCATTTTCATTCGTATAAAACCTGAGGCTGACCAGTATCTCTGTGTCTTGTTGGTTGCAGGAAGGCGTGGCCGCCATGGAGAACCTAAATGAGATGCAGTGCATGTGGTTCCAGACGGAGTGCGCCCTCAGCTTCCAGCGGCAGGCCAAGTACGGCGAGGCGCTCAAGAAGTGCCACGAGGTGGACAGGGTGAGGAATTTAGGAGGGGCCCAGTTCCTGGACGATATCTAAGTCAATGGAGAGACTAATGGAGTGTCTCAGTCGCGGTCCTGTTGTTACAGCTTAGAACTAAGAGTACAAAGCAAACAGTGAAGTTGCTTGTTCAAATGGTATGAAGTTATAGTAAGCAAAGCGTTATGTCATGTACTCTAACCTACCAAATTTAGTGACTGTGACAGTCAGCGGCATTCCACTGAATGCAGTATGTAAATATATTTTTATACTCCTTCAATGGGTTGCTTTTGGGTAGTAAATATTACTTACTCCACGGAAAGGATCGTGCCATTTCAGTGCATCGTTCAGCGTTACTTTTCCTTTTATAAAGTTGAGTGGTATTTGGTGGTGTGCTTACAGCATTTTACAGAAATTATAGAAGACCAGTTTGACTTCCACACATACTGCATGCGCAAGATGACACTGCGGTCGTACGTCAGTCTACTGAGGCTGGAGGACATCATCAGGAGTCACATCTTCTATTTCAAAGCGGCCAAAATTGCAATAGAGGTGGGTAGACAGTCAGCCTGGGCTGGGGTTCTTGAGACTGTGCCTGGCTTAGCGTTAACAGCTGTGTGAGGTTGATCCCTTGGCGATGATGGTTGCCAAGACTTCAACTGATATGTTGTAATTGTTTTTCACTCTCTGAAAGATGGTGTGGACGGGTGTCGACATTTTATTGAATAGAGTCGCAAAGATGGAACCAAAATACCGATCATTTGGTTGGTTACCACATAACTGTTACAGACATGTTATATTTGTGTCATGTAACAGCAACAACAGAAAACACTTGTCTGAGAAACTTCCCGTTATGTTGGCAGATGCTCTCATGGTTTGAGAGGTCGCATCCCGAGTCATTCGGCTGCGGCTTGAAATTGCACATGGCTCCATCGGAAATGGCCTTGACCACTACCATAGACTCGTGTGTAATTTGCAGCCACAGCTGTTGCCCGATTGTCAACCACCACTGTATCTGACAGTGATAAAGTTCCTCTATCTCGGCAATGATTCTGCTGCTGTTGATTGACCAGTGCAGCAAGATCTTACAGACTTGTACAGCGCTTGCCTTAGCTGCATCCCCCTCTCTCTTTTGCCTGGTGCTCAGGTCTACGTCCACCTCCACGACAAGCCCTTGGAGGACGCTGACAAGCAAGAGGACTTGGACCTGGAGAACCTGAACCCCAAGGAACTCAAGAAGATCCGCAGCAAGCAGCGGCGAGCCCAGAAGAAAGCCCAGCAGAGGGAGGAGGAGACCAAGGGCAAAGTGGGCGGGGACAACAAGGGGCGGGAAGGGAAGAACAAGCACGATGCCGACATGGACGGGCCCAAGGAAGAGGAGCTGGTCCCAGACAAGCTGGCCAGGGTGAGTAGATGCTCTCCCTAAAAGAATTCAAAGGGCATTCGGGTGGGGTCATTGGAATTGGCTGTCTGAAAACGCTTTGGTCCCAACTCCACAGACATTTTGTTTTTACTTCGACGTTGGCAGTCAATGAATAATGTACCGATAACCTGTTGTGAAAATTGATAATTTAAAAATACCAACTGGGCTTTTTCCCAAGATGATGGATTGTGTGGAGAGGAGGAACCAGACTCTAGGCATTTCATTCCCCTCACACACCACTGATTACAGCTGTCTCCCGATGGAGGCCAGGCCGCATGGCTGCGGTGCCATCGGGTACAACAACCCATTGAACAGAGCATAAAAAGTGGTACATTTTCACCCTATCAACTTGCCAGTCTAATAGATTAGCCATGGCTGGAATCTGCCTTCCTCAATCCTCTGAAAGCTCAGTGGGTTCCTGGGAGCTGAGAGGGTTTGGATAAAGACTGGCAGTGAAAGGTACTATGTCGTCTCTTCAATAGTTCAAATAAGTATTTCAACGTGTCCCCTGCTGGTTCTTGATGACGTGTTGGGTTGTTGTTTTTTTAAAGCAAATCTTGTTACCTCGATGTGGCTTTTTAAGGCTGCACCTTTTAAAAATTAATTCTTGTTATACGTAAGGCTTCCCATCAAAATTTTGAAAGACATTTTTTTAACCAAATCCTGACTCTTACATGTTTGTTCCTTCCTCTTAAAATGGAATATTCTCCAAGGCCCAGCTAGACCCAGTGAATCTCCATTTCAAAATTGATGTTTTCCATTTCACCAAATCCTGAATTCTGAAATTCAAATTCTGTTTCATGCCTAAGTAAGGATGAAAACGGAGAGCAAGTTTTAAACTATGCATCTATTCACGGACGGAATACCCCACATGTGCAATAAACATATGTGCGAGCATGAACTTGGTCGCGTCTTGATTTCAATGAGAGAACGGTGCGCGTGTGAATGGCCAATGTGTGTGCCATACCGCGCCGCTGCACTGTGCTGGCTGCCACTGCACACCTGAGGCTCATACACGCCATAACGCTTGCAAGTATCGGTACCGGCGCGGACAACCCAATCATGTAGGAGAGTGGTGCAATTTAGCATGTTTCCAGCATACTTTGTTCATTAAAAGCAAGTATTTTAACCCTAACAGTCCTCAATCCTTCACCTGTTGGAGGACTGAGGACTGTTAGAGTTAAAAGGGCTTTGATAGGCATTATTTATGGTTGTTTGCAAAAGGTTTGAAGCCATTAGTGGGAAATTTTGCAAGTTCCTTTTCAAGCAGTGATTTCTGTTTCAAAGCGTTGATTTCGCAAATTCCGTCCGTTTTCCACGATAGTGGAAAATCATTGGCTCTTCCCAGTTTTTGTTGTGCGCTCACAAGGTCATCCTAGCCCATCTGCTTGACATTCGGTTGGCAACCAGATTTGGTGATGTGCCTTGGGATTGATTTGTTCTTTGACTTGTACTAGGCTTACGATGCACCTGATGACACTTCTGTCCATAATTCTTAGAGGCAAGATGGCCCTCATTTAAATTCCTTGTTTTTCTTTTTGATCAGGTGGGGAGTCCCCTCGATCAAGCCGTCTACTTCCTGAAGCCCCTTCAAACACTAGCCAAGAACAGAATACAAACACATCTTCTAGCTTTTGAAATATATTTAAGAAAAGGTGAGACTTGTTACCCACAAACTTGCAGAAATTGTTCTAGTGATAATGTATCATTGATAAGGACAGTAAAAAAGAAGAAATTGTTGACGAAAGGTTCACGCATTAACATTGAACGAGAGTTGATACTTTTCAGTGGACTAAGTGTTGATCAGGGAAATGCAGCGGCATACTATCTGACATTGATTTGGGGTTTAACATTGCCTAAATCCTGTAAATACATGCTATGGTCTTGTACCTGTACTTTACGTGGCCTCACAAGGAAACTTTAGGAAGAGCAAAGAAGAACTTTCTGAACCTATTCATACCTTTGTGTGTTTGCTTTTAACGTGCAGACAAGTTGCTATTAATGTTGCAAGCTGTCAAGAGGGGCCACTCTGTCGACCCATCCAGTGCTGCGCTCCACGAGTGTCTAATCAAGCTAGCCACCAAAGGTAGGTATCGCTCTCAAAGTCAGCAAGTAGCCGGCGACCGAATGAAATGTGCTGAATTCTACGTGGGCAAGAAGCAAAGGCTTATGCAAGACATCAAGATGCCAGTTTATGACCTGGACCCAAGGTCCCGAGGTTGCCTTGCACGCTTTTTCCGCTGACAGAGTTACGTGTTTTTCACGGAAAGCAGTGAGGACAGAAAAGAGTAGTGCTAACTGCAGAGGCATAGAGATGTGACAGTGAGAATAAACTTGGATTGTGAGCGTACCTTTCCTGCTGTTCCATTTTATGCTCCAGCACCAGGATTTTTCCCGATGTCAGGATTTTTTTTTCGTCCGCATTTTCCTGATTTTAGTATGTTTTCAAACAATCTCTTTTAAAATCTGGAATATCCGATATTTACAATTGCAGTGTCTTTACTTATGATGTACCATAGACCTCCTATTTCTGAGGGGCCCTCAAAACCTCTGGTGATTATTTCGATGGTTTTTCAATTTCTTCCGGTCACAACCCTGATATTGTGTCTCTCTCAGCTGATCGGGGCAGTCTTGTGATTCCATCATTGCACAAAGCACTCTTAAGCCTCTCATGCTGGGGTGTCTATCACAGAGAGGTTGGGACCGACCAGTGGAGAGGAATGTAGTGTTTTTTTTCCTGAGATGCCTGGGTCTTTTCCAGCATAAACAGTAAATGTGAATTCACCGTGTGTTTGTTCAGTGAATGAGAGAGGAGATTTACCAGAGCCTGTGCAGACAGTTCTATCCAGAGAGTTGGAGCGATTACTAGGAGGCAAGCAGCTGCAGACATATAATCAAGACTTCATCGGCGCTCATCTTCACTCGCTAGAACACCGCACGATCGGTAGGTCAAAATCGAGAAATGTCTTCTTTTTTTTCATCTGTAGTCCTCCATTTTCCTCCAGACTGTGAAAGGTACGCAGTTAGCATTCAGAGGGATGTTCAGTTTGAGAGGTTTAATCTGTTAGGCAGCAAGAATGATTTTTTTTCCAGATTTCACATTAACTCTCCTGTGCAAAGATGCATTCTTGACAAAGTTATCCCATCAATCAAAATCACAAAAAGGTCATTTACCTTTGGCAAATCAAACGGAAGAAATTTTTCGTCTGTGACTGTTACAGCAAAAGGAGGGACGAAACCACGACCATCATGTGTAAAAGTTGCCCCTTGAAGTCTTTGCTTTCAAAAGGCATTCACATGAAAGAGTAACAGCCAAGTGTACATGATATCCGTTAGGACACTCATTTCATAACAGGCAATCAGGAGCCCCAGCTGATTGCGTAACTCGTCCAATCTTGTTCATTCTTTCAGGAGCCAAATGCCTGCTCCACCTGGGTCCATCCAACCTAGAGAGTGCAGTATCATTAGCAACCTACCTTGGTGACGACCTAACAGATAGAACTTTGCAGGTGGGTCAAGTCAGATATTATGCTACCCGTCATTCCGCCTCTACCATTCACCACCTGTTTAATTGTTCTCCTGTCAGTCAGCACCATCGTCCATTAGCTCGACCACTGAGCTTGAGAAACGGGGCTGTTTTTAAAAGACTGTAAAGTATGCTGAAGTAGGACTGTAATGTTGCTACGTTATTGGAATTGACTGCACAGAACTTGAGCAATCTCTCTTTACCTTGCAGAACTGCTCCTATGTTTTCATGCTCCTGAAAGACTTCTTCAAGTCGGATGCTACTGCCTACCGCGCCCAGTGCCACCAACTCTTCCCCTATGCAACCGTCTTTGCTCCCCCAGCCTCCACAGAGAAGCCGCAGGTGCAGGCCCCCGTGGAGAACTGCGACGGAAAGAGCGTCTCGGAACCGCCCAAGTCGGCGGCGGTGGTGGTAGAGAATTCACAACACAAGGAGCAGCCGCTGTGCAATTCCACGCACGTGGAGGCTGAAGCCTGAACCATCAGTATCTCTGCACCTGTATTTCCAAAGGACCCAATTTCGCAGCTCCACCAAGCACAGCATTTTCTGCTGACAGGGCCTGGTGCCAGTCTCATGGAGCTAAGATTGTGTCAGAATTACTGAGCTGCGATTTGAAATCTCACATGAGTCCAGGGTTGTGGCTGCAGCCACTCAGTATAGATTTGTGTGTAATTTCAAGCCGCAGCCAAGTAAATTGGGCATGGCCTTACATGCTCTGAAATCTGCTTAATCACAGAAAATAGTTGCTTAGCAGAAACAGGTTACCGTTTGAAAGTTTGTAGTATGTGTATTGCTTCTGATAAGTTCCCACTGGTCATTGCTTAGCGCATAAATTTGCTCAGCAATAATATCTGCTTAGCAGCGCCATGTTTTACGAGATGGTCATTTTGTATTATGTACTCTGAATCCACCTAATTTATTTAAACACTCTGAAATGAAAAGGAGATGACTATTTGCCATAATGACAGTTGCATAGCCTCGCTGTGAAGAATATTGTCATTTTGACAGTAAAGATGGCATGACATTTTATCCATCCAAGTTGGAACTACCCGTCATAGCACAAGAACAGTAATGATATTTCCACTGTTGCATCATTGTCGGTCTCTCACATCTTGAGTTTTGGGATGTCTGGTTTTTAGAAAATGTTTACAGGGATTGCCTCGCTTTCAACTCAAAATGGCCGACTGTTGAACAGGGCTAATTGGACCAGCCTGAGTTTGTGGAGCTGTATAACATGAAACCCTGCTTGGTACCTTGTTTGCCAAACACAGATCTGAAATGGCCAAGTCTCAGGCAGGGTACAGCTCTGCCTAAACTAACTGTGGCCAGATAGCTTGTTGGGGGAACCAAGGAAGGTAAAGCCCAGCCACGGTGACCGTACTTGGGGCTTCATACAGTTTGACAGTTAATAAGTACAAAAACTGCACATTCAGTTTGCAGCCCATACCAGTAGGGGCAGTCTGGAACATTCTAGAAGGTTTTTCATCAGGGAATATTGTGATGTTGGGAAGGGGAACTCACAGCTCAAAACAGTACGTAGGTTTTTGAGTTGTAGGTTGAAATTTTAACTGTGCACTGGCAGAATCCTCTGGCCAATACTGGATTCATCCCTTAAAATGTGAAGTTGGATGTTGAACGTACACAAGGTTGGATCTTTGAAAATGGCTCAGTCTGCTCAGTTTTATTGATTTGTAAGAAAAATCTTCCATGTTGGAGGAACCGTTGGTAGGGAATTTTCTAGATGAACTCTTTTGTTTGATTTCTGTCTGTTTCCTTATTTGGTCAAAGTCAGTTGTATCAACATGCAGAAATATTTCCAAATTCAAATTCGGCATCGAAAAGATTTCTCTGAGAAACCATGCTCAAGACAGCTTCCCCCAATTGCATTATATTAAAGAAAGCCTTAGTTTTACATGGAACCTGTCAAACGAATGTTTGAATGTAATGGTAAATAGTGCACACTGTTCTCCAGTATGCCTTTTGATTGATTTCTCGAGTTCTTTATGTATGTATTTCAACGAGTTTAATCAAATTAATAGACTTGGTGGGCAAGGCTTTGTTTCTGTGTTTACTTAAACACTATGACAAGGTCAACAATCCAGATATTGAAATTAGTAGCTTGTACTCATGCCAGTTTTCTGTGTTCCAAACCTAGTTTTATTTATTGAAATTTTTATCAAGCAAGTCAATGCCTTTCTTTAAAGTGTTTTCCTTTTTGTTGTAAATGGATTCTGGAGTGTGAACTCACCTTGTGTTTTTTTGAATGGGTGACTCCAACTACCACCGAGTGTTAAACCATAAGTTGTCTGTGGTCTTAATGGAGAAATAATTATTCTCGAGTCTGAAAAGATTTCACAATATGAATGACACTGGTAATGCTTTTCTCTGCCTGTAAAAAGGCAAAGGTCAAAGGAACAAATTTTCCTCGTGAAAGGAATGACGAGTTTGTATTTCAGAGCCATTTTTGGGGGAAAAGTTTATGCAATGAATATATGTAGTGACGCTGTACATGTGTCTGCTTTGATTGACACTAAGGTGTGTCGGCACATTCCTGTTGATATTTTTATCACTTTTTTTGTTTTGTTTTGTATCCTCAAGTGAGCATCCATTTATAGCCTTCTTCAGCCCACTCCAGTTCTGGCACTTGAGGGTGAAAAAACATTCCCTCAAGTAACATTGTGCATTTTCTGCTGACAAGATATGTATTTAACATCCGAATTTTCAAACATCTTTAGATACATGCAGAATTCTGGTATTTGTAGGAATTGATGACTGAGTGTTTGGAGGTCTCCTATATTGCACTGACAAAAACTGTGATAATATAGACAAATACGGCATGTAATAACTTTGAGAGCCTGTTAATGTCGCATACATTCACTGACCACCATTGCTTCTGCCCATTTCCCAGGGTCCTCCAGGTGTTGTCTTATACCTTGACTCTTTCTTCCAGCATTTATGATAAATAAGCCTTGTCGAGTTAAAATTAAATAAAATCTGATACACTGAGTTATATTTGATTGCGCATAAACACAACAATTTGAAATCCCCAGACTAAAGACACTGTTGCTATGCCTCGTGATTCAGGGTAAGCTTTTGCATGGCGACCACCATCTCTGGAATAGACTGGTTGCTTATGCCATTCATTTTGGTGTATTGGTGCAAAGGCATATCTTATGTAACTAAGCAAAACCTTGCCCTGAATCAGGACGTATAGTAACAGTGTCTTTTGTATGGAGACTTCAAATTGTTATGTTCATGTGAATTGAAAGAACTCAAATTTAACTCACAAAATGGCTTATTGGCAGCCTAACTACTTTGTATGGATTTCATTGCTCAGAAAAGTTGTGTGGAACCGGCGCATGGTTTCGGTTCTAGAAACGGGATTCCTTGGTCATGGAAAATCCTGGAAAAAAAGTTTTAATGGAAGTCATGGAAAATTGGGGGGAAAAATACGGTTTCCTTGAATTCTGTTGTCAAATAAAAAAGTATTAGAAAAGTCATGGAAAATGAAGATCATGGCTGCTTATTATGTGATAACAGAATGATAACTTTATAGGCTATCCTCGTCAGTCCATAGTAGCTGTAGCAGTCTTCCAGTTTCCGTACCAAACAACCTTTCTTTGTAAAATAATTTTAAATGTCATCGAAATTGTCATATTTTAGTCCTGGAAAGTCCCCGAGAAGTTATGGGTTTGCTGTAGTTGTGGGGCTTGAAGAGAGCTTTGATTCTCAATGTCCCTGACTGTTGAGAGGCCCAAGTGGGAGCTCTGCATGTGGCTTGAATACATGGTTCCAGTGTCAGAGGTGAAGCCCTAATTAGAAGAGAGCAAAGCATTAAGAAAGGGCCAATGTTTACGTCAGGTTTAACACAAAAGGTTCCAAAGCAAAAATAGCTGCTAAGTTGTGAAATTCAGTGTCCTTTGGGTTGCACATAGGTACTTCATAACTTCAGTACAGTTTTAAGCAGGAAGACAGCAACGTGATGCCATCATATTTGATGAATAGTGGCAGGCTTTGCAAACGTTTACAATGTTTGAAGCTTCAAGGAATTTTACGATTAACTTAGACTTTCCTCAACTTTTTTTCCCAGTTAAGTCTCTTCTGACTTGGGAAAATATTGATTGAAAATGTACAATTGAAAAGATGAAGTTTGTCGTGTACAAAAAAGGTTTCTTTATAATTTTTTAAGTCTTATTTGAGCGTCAACGTTTGGGTTGTTTAGGCAGACCCAAGTGTAGCATTTATTAATTGGAACCACCCACTGTCGTATTAAATACATTGTTGTGATTTTCATGGATATTTTTTGCAGTTCATTCTGTGAAATAAATATTCAATAAATAATGCTTCAAGATGACACAATTCTTGATAAAAAAACGAGATTCGTTTGAAGTTTTTTTCACTAAATGGTGAGTTCTCGTGACCTGTTAAAAGTTGTTTATAGTTTTGGGGTAGATTTGAGGGCAAGGTAACTGTTAGAATAGAGGGCGTTAAACTACACGTCATTTCTGCGGAACTCCTACATAATGCATTCGTACAATGTACAGTACATGTACGTATACTTCATGCACGTCGTCTGTCAAATTACTTTCCATGTGTCCAACATTTTTCGGCGGACAAAAATTACTCCGCACTTTTATTTTATAAGAAACAAATTCATACCTGATTTCAATTTTGGAAGTGGAGCTCGCTATAAAAAGTAGAGTGTATTAATTTGTTGAGGTCAGATTCAACGGTATACGAAATAGTTGGATAAACAATTATTTTACTTGCTTTAAGAACTACGTTATTATGTGGATGTTATAAAGGAGTTCGGTGTGATGCGGTTAGTAAGCAAGATGGCGGCCATGGGGTTCAAGTCGACGACCAGACCTGGGCCGGTAATTACGTGTGAACTTTTTCTTGTATTCTGCATTTCCTAATTCTTGAAATAGGTGAGTGTGTTTACAAAAATACACGGGCGTACAGTTTTTGTTTACATGGATAATTTTTTCTTTGAAGAAATTTTATTTCCGTAGGCCTCTCTCCTATTTTTCGATATGATTCACCGCTGGCCGCGACGGCCTAAGCGTAAGCAATGCTGAGCCTGACTTCGCCTTATAATGGATGGCACGGGTCTGCAGCTGCGGACTGTCGGAGCGTTGATATTGTTCAGTGCGATCGGTGGATATGCGTGATTGCTCGATCACACTGCGGTATGGGTCGATCCTCAGCAAATCTCTCGATCCACCGGCATCATCTGTCAATCACCCTGTCTTTCATGTCTTATTTATGACCTGATGACTTAGGAAAATAGTTCTGAAGAACTTAGGATATTTTATTCCATCACGATTGATCGATTGCATTGCCTGACTGACAATGGAGAGAATTCCATATACGGACAACACTTGATGCCCCTGTGCACAAATATGAGAATGAGACTTGTCTGAAAAACCGAAGGCTTTTCTAAGTAAATGCTCTGGAGTTTTCTCAGCTAAATTTCACATTTTAGGACATGTTACCACTTTCTCAAGGCTGTTGTAACATTTTTAAGGGAAAATTGGTGTTGTGCAAAGCCTGTATTATACTGGAACTCTTTCTGACTGTTTTGCTTCCCAGCCCTGAGTAGTTATGGTACCCATCCACCCGAAAATTGGACACAAAAGTAGGCATCCCAGTCTATTTGACTCTGACCCACATGAGACCCAGATTCAGACTACTCTTGGACATGTTGGATCCTGGCCCTCGCAGTCACAGACAGCCTACACCTAGAACTAGCATGGAGGTTGGAATCTATTTCTACCTCCTTGGAACTAGTAAATGGGGTTGGCCATGGGTTTCACTACACATGTAACATTGTTGTTAGTTGTAAGTTTGGGGCAAAAGACGGCCATACAAATGAAACTGGGAAGAATTCCATACGATCACAGTTGTTGAGTACCACAAATATTACCAAGTTAAAAAGGGGCATCTCAATTTTGGAGGATCTTGGGGGAGCAGGTGTTGAAAGTACATGTAGGATTTAACTTGTCTATGCCATGCTTGTTGCTAGTGTTGGTGTTTACAAAACTGTAATCATGGTAATGGTCCAATGTGGAATTTTTGTGACATCTTAAAAAAGAAGCAAATGCACCAAAACGAGTGGAATAAAGAGAAGAGTTTGATATCCAGCCACCATTTACCTTTCCTAACCCTAATGCTCCTCAATCCTCCAAAATCCTCTTGATGGTTTTTGAGGATTTTGGAGGATTGAGGAAGAATGGCAGAATTGCATCACTGATTGAAAAGGATGCTTTGTCTCAAATATTCCATGCCTAAATTATGTGAAATCGTCCATGCACTGTTCCAAGACACATTGTACCATTCTAACTGCATTAACATAAAGACAGAAAGACAAGAATAGCCAGAGGATTTTGAAGGATTGAGGCTTTGAGCACCCCTCAAAGGAACACATTGGAGAAATATTGGAGGATTTTGGAGGATTGAAACTGAAATCAAATTTTTGCATGGATAATCAGAGGATTTGAAGGATTGAGGATGGTGCCCAACAAGAAGGCCCAGGGCGGTTAGGATTAATATTTATGACTTATAAACACACCAAAACTTGTAAATCTGTGTAAGAAACACCATTTTAGGAGCAAAAAACTTCCAACTTTTCTTTGAAAATACTTTTAAAATTCGATCATGACCCATACGTAGACCTTGTGTGCTAGGTCTAAGACTCTGTTCTAAAATGAAATCGGTAGCCTGACGTGCACTGTGAATAATGTGTTGTATTTTGCTGTCATGCATTTTGATGCACAGATATTTGGTTATTGATGAGCACCAGGCAGCACCCATGGATGAGCAGACCATCTTCAATCTCCTGGAGTGCTCCGTCTGCCTGGAACCGCTGGACGTGACCAGCCGCGTGCTGCCCTGCCAGCACACCTTCTGTATGCGCTGCCTGCAGCAGATCATCAACACCCGCAATGAGCTCAAGTGCCCCGAGTGCCGGGAACTGGTGCCCTGCCGGACGGTGACCGACCTGCCCACTAATATCCTACTGGTGCGGCTGTTGGATGGGCTGAGGAGGCCCGGGAAGGCACCCGGTTCGCCCCCGCCTCGGACAGGCAATGCTGGGATCTCCTGCACCGGGGAGACTTTAACAAGCGGCAGAAGTACCTCCTCAAAGGTTGGTGGTGTTGTTTTTTTCTTTAGAAATATCAATATTTCAAGGCTGGTCAAAAAAACTTCCCACAAGCCTGTTTCTTCCTTGCTAGTGAGGGGGGCTTCATTGTCAGATAGATAGACATTGTCGACAGTGAACTGTATTGTGTTGGAGTTTTGCTCAGAATGACTGCCACGCAGTCGAAGGGGGCCATTACTAATGTCCAGCTACATGTATAGCACAACTGTGGCCTGTTCGGTGTTGGCAGGATTGCATCCGTTTATAAAAGCGTGTCCGTAAAGTAACATTCCCAAGTGTTCATCAGTTACTTTTTGTGGAATACTATTTTGCATTCCAGACTCAAGAACCATTCATTTTCAAGAGAATAGGTCTGGAAACTAGACGAAACTTACAGAGTTTCTTGATATATATGCCCACCTTATGCATTCCCTATATTCCTTGATTGAAACAGTTTGGGAGATATTTTCAGCCACAACTGGGATTCTGGGTTTTGTTTGAAGAACAAATGGCTATAATTTACCTCAGGCATTGAAACAGACCCAAAGAAACTCTTTTTATCCCATAGATTTTAATGCAGGAGGTCCATAGTCTTAGATTAATTTTTAAGATATTCCACACATGGCTCATTTGTTATCAGAATGAGAATTAAGTTGTTGAACTGTTTGGATACTCTGACTCATCAGTTGTAATACACGTAAAGGACAATGCACAAAACCCTTGCAAGGTCTGCTTCATTTTTCCTTTGGCAAATAGGAGAAACAAGAATGATATTTTATGGGGTGTATCCCGTTTGTAAGTACGACGTCACTTCAGTTTAAACCACGCCCACTGCACATGCACTGCATGTGGAGTTACATGCATTGATCGCTGTTTACATGGAACCGAAAGTTAACGCGCAACTTCTGCGATTGTCCAACGGGAGCCTGCAAATCGTGGCGCGTCTGCCTTTGTGACGAACCGGAACCGGATACAGAGACTACATGTAAAGTGTCTGCTTTTGTACAGGTTGCAGTCAGTTACGTGAGACGTCAGTGGTTGCAAAACAAAAAGATGCAACACAATGTTGAAGTATAGACTGGATGCAGTGTCCATGTGGCAGGTTCCTCAAAATATAAACCATTAGATAATGTTCAACTTTGGGGGGCTCATTTTTCCTGAAGTGAACAGCAACGAATTAATTCCCAATGTTTGATGAAATGAGGGAAGTCATGGCTGATATCTGGACCAATGATTACGGTGCCCATCTTTCAACTTAATCGTAGTGGATTAATTTAACTCTCGAATGTCAGCATTTTTTATGGGCATAAACAACCTGTTGATATCCTAGCCAATAAAAGTTTCTGGGGAGTGATACACCCCGCAGTTACTTTACAAAAGGTAAAAGGTGATATTTACACATATTAAAACCATAATCACGAAATTAAAAGTACCTCTGACAACTAATCGGGTCCCGAAGTCGGCAGTTGCGAACATCATTCAATTCTGTCAAAAAATTGACTGCAAAAAACAGCGAGTAAAATCAAAATCGATATACAACACAGGCTTTAAAAAAGTGCAAAAAAGCACCCCCAAACCATCATCCTTTTACAGCTGGACCGATCTCATTTTTGTCAAGTACGTTTCAGAAAACTGCAGTCCAAAATACCAATCACGACAATTTTGTGGCTACCGTCAATAGCTGACGATGAAGTTGGGGAAATGTTTTGCTGCAGCGTGGGCTGTTTGACCTTTGACATCAACCCTGAAAGTGTGCCTTCTTTTTTTGTTCGATATTCATAAGCCCTTCCACAGAATGGCGATTTTTCTCTTATCGAGGTTTCTCAAAAGAAAATCTGTCATACTGAATGACGTTCATCAGAAAGTGACGTCTGAGACATACATGTACATTGTAGAATGTGATTCATGATAAAAATCTGTTGCCTAGAGTTGTTCATTTTAATTTTATTTTCAGCAGGGTTATCTCCAAAATAAGCGGTAAAGTGAACATCGCGCATGGAATTTTCAAGCACTACACGTGACAGTGTTTTCGGCATTCTTGAATGTCATGCATTTTTTGTCAAAATTCTCGAGCGTTATCAAAATTCTGTCGTATATGATGTTCGCAACAAACATTATACATTTTTGATGCAGCCAAACTTAAAGATTATTTCGGTGGTTGAAAGGTATAATACCTGGCAGGTATGCTGGTATAGTGAGATTGATTAGAAACGGTAAGAGAATGAAGAGAGCCAAACTTTTCTCATCATTTTCTGTCAATTTTGTGGTCTTTTTTTCATGGCTTATATTTTTTGAAAGTTATTTCTTAGGTGCTTTGAAATACATCAGTTGAAAAATATAGTGAATTCTTCTGGTTGTTGACGTAAAATTTTAAATGAATTCAACTCCACTTGATTTGCACTGGTAGCCAACCAAATGTCCATCAAATGTGTTTACACAGTATGCTTAATTATCCCTAAATAATCATTTTTGTAAATCTGAAGGTACTAATTTGTATTTTACATGATCAAAGTCACTCTTAGAAGTTTTGAAAAATGGCATGTGGCGTTACATTTTGGTCCATTTTATGGAGAACATGCCATGTACATGTACATGTACATGTAGTTTACTTGCTTTACCTTCTTTTTGCTGTTCTTAGTCTGAAAATCTTCTCCCTGTTTTGTACTCATTGTGCGTGTCGGTACGTGTGGTTTGTGACATAAATCCCAATAAAACTTGCAGTCAAGTGAATGCGTAAACAAGCTCAGTGCTGAACAAATGAACCTGCAGGTTTGCGTGACTGAAAAAATCCGCCCCATAAAAGAAAAGTTAGATTTCCAGGTAAATTCTATTTGTCTGGGCCGTACCTCAACCCTGGGCGCAACTATTCGTTTGTGAAGGCAATTGTTGTACCCACCTCCAGTGGGGTGTTAGCCTTGAGGTATACATATTTCCATTCTCCAATCCAGAGAGCTATAACTGACTGGCATAAATTTCTCTTTTTTTTGTGGTTAAAGACTTTTATTTTCCTTTTTGAAAAAATAAAGGGTGATGCCGAAAGATTTTGACACTGCTGAGGGCATATCGGCATTTGTACATAATGGTCAGGATTATGCAATGGATTAGAATTTTGCCCATTACCACGCATGTATTCAAAATTGACATGCACATGTATCTTTATTTGTTGACTAATTAAAGGCACAATTTACATGTAGACGACTTGGTTGTATTTTAAGTTGTATACTAAATTTAGTTCTTCCAAAAGTTATGCAGGTACATGAAACGAATAAACTTCTGTTTCTCAAAATAACACCTAAAATCCAAAATAAAGCAATTTCTCTCTAACTCAGGAAACTATAAATGATGATTGTTACAAAGGATATTAAGACAAAACAAATAAATTTATAAGGGCAATTTAAGAACTTCCTTTACTTCTTTTACATGCTCAGCCATTTAATTTGAAACTAGGTTAATGTGTTCAGTGTTCTTCAGTCTTGCAGTTTGTGTATAGTGGAGTAAGTGTTCACAGGCAGGAGATCAGTCTTGATGTAGTCCACATTGAAGATCACTTGTCCTCAAACCAGCCCACCACAAGTTGGCATTCCCCCCCCCCAAACTCCATACCTTGGCTCAGCCTAACAAACCACCTGACCTTGGGTGCTCTTAAATGAGGGCTCCTACCACTCTTCTATCACAAACCACTTTCATTTCTCTGGCCAGAAGAATGAGGAGTGGGAGGGGACCGCTTTGTCCCTGCTTCCTTACCCTGAGGGAATCCTTCAATTCTGTGAAAATGTCTGAATGATATCACCTCCAATATCCGTGCACAACTTACAAATGTGCGGGTACGTTTGGTTGATTCACAGTCTCTGACATCGCATGAGCACTGTACATGTACATTTGAAAAGTGCAGTGCTAGTACCAGCGCAAGAAAAGGCTGAATGTGACTGGTAAAACCAAAAGAGATGAGTCACATAGGATGAAAGTTGTATCGAACTTTGCCACTATAAGTTATCATAGGAATGCGAGTGGAACACGGAAAAATGTACATGGACATGTACATGTAGTGTGTCTTTGGCCTCGTGGTATACAGGGACCCAGATGCACTTCATTATTCCATGTTCCACGAGCGTGAGCTCGTTAATGAATTTATCTTCAAGCAAACTTGACACTTAGTAAAGATGGTATTGGGGCCTATGCATTTAAAGGCACCAGGTTTGAATGTACAGCAGACTTTGCAGCGGTGCGTTTTGCTTTTCGCATGAAAACGGCGCAATGCCTGGAGTTAGAATAGCACATCACACAGGTTTACCATGCATGTATACATGTATGTCACACTGGTTGTTGCCATGGATTGACCAATAATAACGATAGTAATAACAATTACATTTATATTGCACTTTCGCGAGGACACGCGCCTGTTTGTGAGCACATTACATAGTTAAAATTAGTAACTAAAATCAGAATTGAGAATTCAAGTTTGCTTGAAGATAAAATAAAAATTCACTTATATTGTCAGATGTGATTACTTTGTGATAATAGCATATCTCAGTGTATACATGTTCATGTGTAAATGTACATGTCTTTTGTTGATTGTAAGACTCAGATATTGAAGGTCAGAAGGGTTTGGCGGTCAGCCTTTTGCATTCTTGCATGATGGAGTAATTTTTGAGTTTCAGACTGTAAGACTCAGATATTGAAGGTCAGAAGGGTTTGGCGGTCAGCCTTTTGCATTCTTGCATGATGGAGTAATTTTTGAGTTTCAGATTGTAAGACTCAGATATTGAAGGTCAGAAGGGTTTGGCGGTCAGCCTTTTGCATTCTTGCATGATGGAGTAATTTTTGAGTTTCAGAGCAGAACGCCCCAGAGCCCTAATGACAGGCATGAGTTTTGGCTTCATGGAAACATTTTGCCATCCAAGAAAACTGTAAGATGAGAGGTGCAGCGTGCATGTCAGGCATTGCTCATTTGGCATTTCTCCAGAAAGAAGCCCACTGTGTAACCCCATATGAAAATCGCGACTAAC